ATTAGAGTTGTTTTGAAATTGCAGAAATTTACTTTGGTTTTGACCCACCATCACTAAGCCATTAGCAAGTTATTCCGATCAAAATTAATTTCTGTTTTTCATCAAATCATCTTTCGTCTGAACTTTATATTTTATAGTAAACTACACAAAGTAAACTGTATAACAGTGCATTGCTGGTCATTTTATTTTTACCACAGTGTCCTCTTACCTCTGGAATTATTTATTCTCATTTGGTAGTCTTGATCCATTTGATAAGCGACAGAGGCTCCTCTTTTCATTCGGTAAATAATGGACTCTAAATTGTTAATTTTCCTATTCCAAAGCAGTTTTATGATTTATTTATTTGTGAAAACAAAGAGGAACCACTCCTTTAAAAAACAGCATTGTTTGACATCATTGTTGGGGGAGGGGGGGTGGGATATCGAGTAAAAGAAATAAAAATATTTATAATTTCATTTAGAATACCAATGTAAAAAAAAAAAAGCCTGCAGTTTCCGGTAGTTTTACTAGTCATCATTGGCCTTCGGTGGATAAATGCACAAGTGTGAAAAGGTCTGTTCAACTTTAAATCAAATCTGAAGATGCCATCTCTAAATGATTTTATTTTTTTGTGCATGTTCTCCAGGGGAAAGGCCATTCAGCTGCCAGCTCTGCCCATACCGAGCCTCTCAGAAAGGGAACCTAAAGACGCACGTCCAAAGTGTCCACCACTTGCCTTTTGACAACAGCCGGTACCCGGACGGAAGAGGCTTGACCCTGAGCCAGGAAGAGCGAGGAGACCCGGCTGCCAAACCCAAAACCACAGTAACAACAGACTAAAGGACCACCAACACCCTGACAGCTTTCTTGAACTTCTGAGGTTTGAAAGTTGGACCGAAGACTCACGATTAACTCGCTGGTCTTTGCTGAACTTTGAATTTTCTACGACGGGAGTTCTTGTACGTTCGATCGCGTTTGCGTTTTTAGTTTTGTGAAGAAACATTTTCAAGCTGTGCTGAGAAATGCTAAGAAGAGTTTCCTATGATAAAAAAAAAAAAAATGAAGCCTTTATATTTAAAAGTGTGTTTTAGAAAATAAATGTAATTAAGAGAGGAACTGTAAAAGTTTTTTAAGCAAGAACGCCGAACTCGACTTTCAGTTCTGTCACATCTTCTTTGATACGAAGGTTCACGTCACCGTAAAGAGTTTCTGATTCGACAAAAACTCCCACAAGTCATAGATTTGTCATTTGCAGTCATTTTTGAGGTACAAACAAGTGAAGTTGCCAAGTGCAGCCTGAGAGGGAAAGTGATATTTCCATAAAGAAAAGACCCCAAACACTTTTTTTTAGATTTATGTTGAATGTTCAACTGGACAGCAATCATGATCCACTGCAACAGAAGTCTCTTTGATGGATCTGAGTTCAGAGGGTGAAGAAGTTCAGCTCGTGTTGTAATAACGCAACCAAGAGAAGAGCTAACACAACTAAAGAGAGAGAGAAAGCCTGTGGTGACGTCTGCTGAAGCGCTCGCTTGGAAATGGAAATCATCACCAATATGAATGACCATCAGAGTTTTATAGTTGTTTGATTATTGTCCATGTAACAAGAGTAACTGAGTGGAGTTTTGTTCCCATAACTCACTTTAATCCGACTGTTTCTGACTTCATGTTGCTGAAATGAAAAATAATTCTGCACCACCTGTGTACTTACAAGGAAGAACATGGAAATCAACCTTGTTATAGTTCCAAAAATAACATTTTAACCTTTTTGACGCTAGAAAAACACTTCAGGTACAATTGAAGGACCCACCAAGTGGAAACTTTAGGTTATTTAATCTTTAAATGGTCACTTTTTATGTGTTTTAAACTGATTATTTCTTTGTCTTACTTTGGAATTGTGTTACTGAGTCAATTAAAAACAAATTATGAATTTACAGTATATACATTTTTGACTTTTCGGTTTCCTCGTTCAGATTGAACGACGTCAGAGAGGAAGATCAAGTCCGACCTGCTGGTTCTTCAACGTTGGTGTGCTTTGTTTTTTTTTTGCTCAGAATGTTAAAAGTTGTAAATGTTTGCACGCTGGCTGCTTGATTCGAGCAAACATTTAGGGAGACTAAACGAGTCGGTCTCCAGCTGTCGGCTCAGTTGTGTTCAGATTTGCATTCTGAGGGACCGGTGGGACGAGGTCGCAGCCAGATGTCAGGCTTCCAGGGAGTTCAGGGATAAAAACATCAGCTGGAGACACTTTGAAAGCTTCCTCCGTAGAGCTGTCACAGCCTGGGTGTATGTAGATTTCTGACCTTAAAGTCTCTCTGCGCTCAGTTCGTGCTCTCCAGACTCGGTCTAGATGCTTTGAAAATGATCCTACCTCCTTCGCAACAAAAGCCTGTTAAATCTTATAGACGTTGTTACTGAAACGGAAGCCGAACAGTTTGCGTTTGACTCTTAAATAAACCCCAGGCTTAAATCAGCCATGCCTTGCCAAACTGCTGGCGACAAGAAGAGAAAAAACTGAAAATGTCCTGGACTGAAATGTCAAACCCGTCAAAGATCGTAGAGGAAGCAGAGGACTGTTATTGTTGCTAATGCATACAGAACTGTGTTCTTGAATATGCCTAATTATACACATGTGTGTATAAAATGTTAGCTAAAATACTTGAAATGAATCGTCTAGCCTTTGAGGTTGTGTAGTACTAATACCAATGTTGTACAGGATTCCCTTTAAGATTAACTCTTCAGAATTTGTACTCCAAAGTGTGGCTTAGAGAAGTATAAAGCAGGAGTGTGTAATATAAAGTGTACCAAACCCTTTATGAACTGCAGTAGAAACCAAATTGCATAACTAGTGCACTTAGACTAGGTTAGTGCTTTAACCAGTTTGTTTTCTTGACCAGTTCTAGTAGGATTTATATTTTTTTTTTGGGGGGGGGGTGGGGTGTATTTTTAATGGTGCCGGCTAAATGACCTTATTTCTGGTGTAGATGCTACTGTCGTTTTGTTCGAATGATTCCATGAGTTTGAATGAAAATGTGTTTTTTTTTTTATTTGATGTTTTTCGCTGCATTGTTTGTGGCAAGTTGGGTAATGCTTGATTCTGTTGTGCTTAATTTTTCATAACTGCGTAAAAGTGAGATTTTAGTTTAATTTTCTAAACTGTAGGGTTTGTTCAGTAGCTTTTCAATTCCACCCCATCTCCTCAGAAAGACTGGCAGGTGTTTCTCTTTAGCTTTTTGTTTTCAGACCTCTACAAGTGTCTGTGTTGTTGTTTTTGTTGTTTTGATCCCTGAATAATTTGCTTTAGAAGACATTATTCCAAATGTACTTGATTGATATCTGTATTTATTGTCACTTCAAAAAGGATGAGAGGCCAGAGGCAGACAGAACCGTTTGTTCTCATTTGATTTCTATGGGTTTCTGTTTTTTTTTTTTTTTAACAAGGTAGTTTTAAGCCAGCAAGCCGATGTGTAAGCTCTACCTCGTCTTAGCCCTTCTCAGTTCTGTTACACTTTTTGTACATCATTTCAAAAGATGTAATGTCATGTCCACAATAAAGACACAAAATGACACGGGTTGGCGCCGTCTTGTCTGGCTTTGCTTGATTTTATGGCACCTCTATGACTGAGCATGTTCAGATACCCCCAGCCATTCAGTAATTCATACTTCTAGTGTGTTTTCCACCCTTAACTCGAATATTTCTAACTCATGAAGTGTCTCAACAACAACAAATCGTTTCAGTTGTGACTCCATCCTGAGCAGAGACATGATGATTAAGTTATGTGGAGGGGAAGCAACACTGCCGTGACTTTATCACGTCATCTTTGAAGGCCGCTGCTCCTCTGCATCAAAAGCACTCAGTTGAGGTTGTTCAGAAAGCTGATGCATCCTGGGTGCATCCGTTGAGAAGTTCTCCATCCGCACCTCGTTGTAGAGATGCTGGTGTAACAGGTCATAGTGTACCCTCAGTCCAGACTACACCTGTGGTTATTGAGGCCTGAGCTATAATATACCCTGGGTATACTATGGCCAAGACCAGTTTATACTCAGGGCCAGTGGTGCACACACTTTTTCAGCATGCGAGCTATTTATACAATGACCAAGTCAAAGTGATCTACCTACTAAAAAAATACAAAACATATTTATTTATATTATTTTGCATATTCTTTGTGTTACGTCCCTGCTCGCTGTAGACGCAACGTAAATGGTAAAACCCAAAAGTTTGTTTAATAAAAAAAACAAAAACTACAATTTATTTTTACTGTCCGCGTACAAAGTAACAAAAAAACACGGCAGTAACTTGGGTTCTTCGCACGAAGGAACTGAAAACAACAAGAATAACTTCAAGTTTGAAAAATAACCAGAGAACTTGAGAACATAACGGAATATTCCAGAACAAACGAGTGACTGACCCAGAATGGTGCTTTGGTAGCTGCCTTCGCTGCTGTGGTCAGCTGTAAGAAAAATGACTGCTGATCCTTCACCTTTTTCTTTCTCCGCTCACTTTTCAGAAGGACGTCAGCGTCATCATTTTTTTTGAATAGTCCGAAAATGCCGCTCCACATTTACCCTCTTTGGAATAACAACGGTAAACTTGGAGATGAGGCTTCGAATATGACATAATGAAAAAAAAGTTCTCCTCCCATCCCGTATGGAAATTGTAGGTTTTTTTTCTTTTTACATGGTCCAGCTCCCCCACTCATTTTAAACTGGTTCTTGAATTTAGATTAGAAGAAATAGATTCAAGGCTGACTAGGCAACTTGGTAGCTTGCTAGTTTTTGCCGTGGTTGTATGTGCATGTGTGGTGACCTATGTGTCAGAAAAGGTCAGGTCTCAGATGCCCTGTATGTCAATCAAGTGACAAATTTCATAGGATGGATGGATGACAGGCTGGTGTCTATTTTCTTAATACCATGTGATCTACTCATATACTTAGTGATCACGATTGATGCGCTCCTGTTCTGGGCTATAAATTGGCCCAGGCCTATTTACACTCCTCGGGCCAGATTTGACCCCAATATCAGTAAAGCTGTCATAAACACAAGAAATACTTAATTTTTCTGTTTTATTGTGGGTTCAGTTTTGTCAGGTAAGTTCAGTAAGAATACTAACTGACTTAAAGCTGAACATTTGTTGTGAAGGGTACAAGGGCTCTGGGCCAATTCATACCCCTCAGGCCAGATAATGGGTATACATGGGTATTTCCTGGTCTAGAGGAACATAGTCTGGCCTAGGCTGTTTTACATTCCAAGCACAGTTTGGCCAAGGACAGTTTCCCCCCCAGGGTAATCTGTCCTGGGCCAAATCATACCCGGGTTGAATCTGGGCAGGGGTTAATTTGAGCTGTCACACTGGGGCAGACCTAGAACCCACTGGACTGATTCAAATGTTTTTCCTCTGAGACCTAAAATTATCTTGTGATTTCCCAGGAAGAGAAAGATGTTTGGGTTTCCCTCCTAAACCTGCTGCCTTCAGGACCTAACCACCTGGAGAAACCTGGAAGCACCGTGAGGATCATGTTCTTTGATTACTCCAGTGCTTTCAACACCATCCAGCCAGGACTTCTGCGGGACAAGCTGGAGTTATCCGGAGTGGATCACCACATGTCCCAGTGGATACTGGATTACCTCACTGGACGCCCACAGTATGTGAGGACACAGGGCTGTGTCTCTGACATGCTGGTCTGCAGTACGGGGGTCCCACAGGGAACTGTGCTGGCACGGTTCCTCTTCACCCTCTACACTGCAGACATCACCATCGACTCCCCACACTGCCATCTGCAAAAGTTCTCTGATGACTCTGCCATAGTCGGCCTCATCACAGGTGAGGACGACTCAGAGTA